TTTTCTATAAAAGGATCCATTTATTCTCTGTCCAGATAGAAAAGTTTTGTTTTTATCACCAAAATGTACTATTAACTCTCACTACTTCTGGCATATTCTCGACCTGCATCCTTTTTAAGTGTCCTGATTTTGAGGAGTATAATTTAAACTGCTAAAATCATTGTCTCTTATTGATGTCCCCTATTTCTGACTGTGAATGAATATGATTTATCTCTACGGCTGCCAAGTCTTCCCGTCAGGTGTTCCTTCTTTGTCTTTTCCAAATTCAGACACCAAGTTCAGAACAATAAATATCTGTAGATTTCTGGGAATGGCCACCAGGTACCAAAATGATTGCCTCATTCTCCTTATAAAAGAAAGATTGTAAAATTAATCAGGTTTGTTTGACATTTCAATTCTTATAGTTCGTTATGAATAAGTAAGATATATTAATATAAATAACTTCTAATGATTGCATACTTACTTCAAATGCATACTAATGTTCAAGCAGAAAGACTGGTACAGTATTGGTGTATGAACCGATTTATGTTTTAAAATTTTATAGACTAGTTGTTCAGGGATAATCAGTGACCATTATGGTATGTCTTATGCTATAAATCAAAAGGCCCTAGACAATTGTCAATGTCCTCACCACGTATAATATGTTCTCACTATTAGGGCAATCATTGACTACCTGTTTTTAAACTAATTGTGTGTTATCCCTTAAGAGATATTTCCTATCTCTTCCATTCTGATAATGCTGGCTAATAATTCATTATCCAGAACAGTTTCATTTTATCACCATAGCATAGATAAATTATCTGCAATCTTAAACCAGCATCCGGAGGGCAATTTCACTCAAAATTCCTGATGTTATTTCTGGCATGTGTCTCATCTGCTAAACATATAACCTGGCAAAGTAGTAAGAGCAAGAGCCAAAGGTCTATTGGGATATTGAAAGATGGATTTTAAGCATTCGCCTTCTTGATATGAAAATGAATATGCTCTTATCATTGTCTCTCTATTTTCTGGATGGCTTAGAGACTTTGTATTTCCAACATGGTATATACCAAATTACTCATTCAGTGCCATTGGTACTGATTTTATAGGGACTGTAATCAAGGTGCTTTGTAAGATGGTGCCTATTATAAAGAAACCCCACATCCTTATCATCTTTAATCATCAACTAAAACTGAAAGAACAATGGTGTTTTATAATAAAGCTTGAAAATTATCCGAAGAATTATTCAAGCTTTACTACCCATGGGCTAGGGGCATTACCCATCAAAGCTAAATGCTAGGGTAATATCCTCAGCTTTGATGTCTTTTCTGAACTTTACCAAAGGAAATCAGAGGGTATCACTGGCAAACTATTCACAGATCACCCAGGAGACTAGAATAGCACCCTCCCTAAGTGATTGTAAATATTTACAGGTATAAATGATGTATTAGTCAGCTCAAGCTGCCATAACAAAATGCCATAGACTGTGTGACATAAGCAACAGAAATTTATTTTCTCACCATTCTGGAAGCTGGGTCGTCCAAGAACAAGGTTCAGGCTGATTCACTTTCACCTGAGGGCTCTCTTCCTGGCTTCCAGACAGCCGCTTTATCCTTTACCCTCAGATGAGGAAGAGAAGGAGAGAAAGAGCAAGCAAGTACTTGCTTTCGTTCTCTGTGGTCTCCTCTTAAAAGACTATAGAGGTAGAGCCCCACTCTTATTGTATCATTTAACCTTAATTATCTCCTTATTTGTCCTATCTCCAAATATAGCCACAGTGGGTTTCAACATAAGAATTTGGTGGGGGGGGGCACAATTCAGTTCATAGCAAATGGTCAAATACTTTAAAGATTTAATGTAATATATTTATGCTCATAACAGGTCCACGTGACTTTTCTCAAGGACAAACTGCTGGAATCCCTGCACAGCCTTTAGCATGGAGATCTAGTTTACTGAAAAAGACACCTCCATAAGACCGCTCTTAAATTTTATGGAAAAAGACCTCAGGTCCTATTAACTACAGATGTGGTGATTAAAGTACAAGGATTGGATCTCTAGACTCACATTTCCCAACTCAAAATAAATCATCACAATCTCCTGACCTGAAGGTCTTCACAAGGGGAGATCTATAATTGAGAATCTCTCAAGATGCCCCAGAGCAAATAGAATCATGAAGGAGATGGGTTTCCCAAGAACCCTGAATCTAGCAGCAGACTTCCATGTACAAAAAACAGCTTTTACCCAAAAGATTCTTGGACAAATATCCCCAAATGCCAGGAGTCACTGACTGCCAACTCTTTCTTTGTCTCATTCTCCTTTTTATTTTGTTGGTAGTTCCTCCCACTGTTAGTTTAAGATTCTAGATTATTAATTATCAAAATGGGAAACTAAAAGATTTTTCTTTAATTTCAATGCTCTAGGTTGTGAGAGCTAACCTTTGATATAACAATACTTGACTAATGGCTAAAAATATAATAATAAAAATATGGAGGAAGAGGATGAGGAGAAGAAAACTTAGAGACCTGGCTAGTATACCACTTTCTGAGTTATTGCTTTCAGAGAATTCAGATGGAGCTTGTTATTTATTTTCTTGCTTAGAACTGCAGAAAATAAGTGCATGGAAAAGGATTTATTTATGATTCTGTTCTTTGGCAACCCAAACCTAGGCTATATCCTACCCAGTGTCTTGAGCAAACAGGGAACTCAGAGGTCTCCTCCACTCACCCACAGCAGTTGCAGTTGACAAGCAGGCAGCTTGATGACCCAAATGGTAGCTTTTCCAGTGCTGAGATGAGTGAACTGAGTTGGGAGCTCGCTCTTGGGCACAGGAAAGCGCTGGCTCAGAAACCAGAAAAGCTGTTGGAGCCCTGAAAGTCTTGGCCTGCTTGTAAAAATGGGGATGAGTGTGCTGACCAGCATCCCATTTCACCTTGCAAAGCCTTCCCCAATTGTAAATTTGCTGAAAAAAGTTTATTTTGTCATCCAAATTGTAAATATGGTGCAAAGTGTAAGAAACCAGATTGTCCTTGCAATTGTATGAGTAGAGGAATTCCAGTACCGCTTCCGAAACCAGCAGTTACAACACCAATGCCACCTTCTAGTAGTCAGCTCTGCCATTACGTCCTGGGTTGTATAAAAATGAAATGTACCTTGTATCATCCAAAGCACTATAGATTTAACATTCAGTATACCAGACCAGACTTCACATTTTACCATCCTGCCATTACTGTACTGCCACAACACGCCTTCGAATGGATTCAACCTCAAACCAGTGAATGGCATCTAGTCCTGCACAGCAGAAGATCAGTTTGAAAGTTTCCACCTACTGACGAAAGATATTCTATAGAACTTGTCGAATCTTTGAAACTTGGAATATGTGGTTTTCATAATATGAAGCTTATTGCTATCTGAAGTGTGTTTGTTTTTCAAGTTTGCAAGTTTAAGTGGTTTTAACATGGGGTGTTTATTGTTTTGTTTTTAGTATTAAAGACAGTTTAAGGAAAAGCTAAATTCTAATGAAACGTTTGGAGCATGTACACATCTGTTTTAAGTATCAGCATTTATAATCTAAAGTCATATTATTGTTAGTAATGTTACAATTTAGGGCTATGTTATTGCTTTCTGTAGAGATGTAGTGAGGCAAGTGTCACAGGTTGAGAATCCCTTATCCAATATGCTTGGAACTGCATGTGTCTTGGATTTTGGAATTTTTTTGGATATTTGTACTTCTCACGAGTTCAAAATCTCTAAACTGAAAATCTGAAATCTGAAATGCTCTTTTGAATATGATCTTTGAGCATCATGTTGGTGCTAAAAAATTTTGGGTTTTAGAGCATTTCAGATTTTGGATTTTTAAATTAGAGATATTCAACTTGTATTATTCTAAAAGTTGAATTACTGCTTTCCCTTTTCCCAAAGATTATATAATGTTCATAATTCATCATGAAAACAGGACTAACCAAAAGTTCTGAGGTAGTTTAAAACAGTCATTCAATTCTGCTTTATATATTTTTTAATGAATTTATTTTTAAAAGCATAATAACACAGGTCTTTTGAGTTGAGTGCCACTTTGGTAAAATGGCTTCCAAGTTCCTCACCTTCTGTGAAAGGAAAAGCAAGGCGGACGTGCAGGTGAATACAAGTAGAATGGTAAGTGAAAAAAATATGAATAATTCCTTAAAATGCTTTACTACTAGCATATGCTGTTAAATTTACTATTAATGTGTGCTTTATAAATAATATTTTGGGGGAACTATCTTATCAGAAAGTTGTAAAAAATTATTTATATGTATATACATAAAGTATCAGAAAAGAGACTTTATAAACTCATGAGACTGTAAGTATACATATATACTCACATTATGAAAAATAACATTAGAAATAACTACAGAAAATATATTTTGTTACTACTGAAGATAACTTTTGAAATGTAAAGTTTAGATTTAAGTAGTATATTTTAGATGACAGAACTATATAATTACAGATGGGTAAACCCCAAAATAGGGTGAACCTTTTGGACTACAGTATTTATTGCAGAGTTTTGTGTGCATGATTTTTTAAAATGGTGCAGGCATAAGTGTCAAATATTTTAGAATTAAATATCAAATGGATCACTGATTTTAAAGGCACGATAGTATAGTTGTGTTTTTATAAATTAAAGCTTAAAAGGTTGTTAGAAAGGAATGAATTAATGCAACAAAGATAATAAAGACTCAAACGTTTTTAGCACAAAATTAAACTAGCTTTATAAAATATGTAAAACAAATTAAAAAGTCTCTTTCATGGGAGGTATCTATATCTTGCTTTGTTCTCATATCTCTAATTCTCTCTCCTGGTGAAGCACAACCTCAGTTTAACCAGTGGCTACTTGGACGGCTCTGTTTTCTTCCTCTTCTTATCATCTTATATTCCCTTTCAGATTCTTCTTTTGTATTTATACTCTTTATATTATGATATCTTCTCACCTGCTGGGTATGTGTCACTCCAGTATTTGTGGCTCTGGAGATTTTGCACGTTAATCAGATAGCCTCCTCTTTTACAGGCATTCAGCATCACAAGTGATTCTCTTGGAAACGTCCCTTGACCCATACACTTCAAAAATTATTTTTTGGACAAAGGGAAAGTCTTTTACTATAAATACTTCACTTCCTTCAAAATGAATAGTTATCTATTATTGTTTCCTGCTCTCCCCATTCCCATCCGTCTTATAAAAGCGAAATAAAAGGGGTTGCAATGGTGTCTGGGGTTTGCAGGACTGGGTATTGACATTCCAAGTAAGTCTTGGGAAGAGGTTTCCAGTATCATCTGTTATGTCTGCTTAAAATTAGTCTGGAATGTCTCTTTAAAATTAGCATGCAGTTAACATGGTTTAAGTGGCAAAGTCTACTCGTAGTTTGTTAAATGTAGTTTATACACAGTTAATACTTTTTACTTTTGCACAGATTTATATGAAATTATAGATATTATATTTGCATTTGTCTCCAAAACCAATTTAAACTTTTTGAAGGAGGATTAATCATTTCATTAAAACAATTAAATTTACTAAGAATCAGCTAAGTTACAGAGCCATAATATAATTCTATAAAAAATGATAAACAAAGCATAGTGCATGGACATTGGAGATGTATTTTAGGTTAGTTCTTTAACATGATTTGACAAGATAAAGTTGAATATCGAGAAGTCTCCTTGTGTCACATTGGCATGTATCAGGCAGTGTCAAGCAGTAAAGTAATGAGCAGGTTTCAAGGAAATATATAAATAATGCAGGTTCACTGTCACTGCACAGGGTTTTTTTTTTTCTCTTTCTTCATCATTTTGCAATTAAGAAAAATATGCTTCTCAAGCAGGAAAGAGTTCAATGAAAACAAAAAATGTTAGAATTGCAATTAATATTTTAAAAAATTTGTTCTACATTTAATTAATAAGGCCAAACAATCACCAATAGTACTTGTAGAGCTCTGACATCAAAGTAAGTGAGTTTTAGTTTCAGATCTGGGATATAATCCCAACTCTGTCATTTACTATTTGGTCCTTGGAGAGTCAAAGACATTCCTTGGCCGATTCTTTTATCTGTAACAGTGAGACAATGATGTCTACCTTGCAAAAAGACTGTAAGAATGACAGTTAATACAAGTAAGAAACGTGGGGACAGAATAGTAATTTCTAGCAACTCATAGTATTGTTATCATTAGGTTAGATTGATACAGAGAAGAGAAACATTCAAGGAAAGAGCAGGAGAGTACCTGCTAGCAACTAGGAATGAAGTTATAGGCAGAGTCAGGAAGCCAAATAAGGGTACTTTGGACATTAAATCCAGCTTCACTCCATATTAGTGTTACCGATCTAGTTTGACCAAGATGTGCTAGTACTTGCGTAAACTACAGTGTGTTCCTGTTATTTTTTCAAAGTACAATATTTCTATTATCAGACTATCAGGAGCACATCCATTTTTGAAGACTACTGCTTTTATGGATACAACTATTCTTTACATTTTTTTTTACCACATTTTTGAAGCAGTCTGAATGACAGGGATTAGAAAGTGGTAGTGACGAATACATCATCTAAGAACACAGCTGTTGGTTTCAGCCCCAAGTTATTTTGCAAATGGTTGAATTGTGGTTCTTTTCCAGACAAAGGCTAATTTCAGGGCATCTTCTTCAGTGAAATCAAGGAGAACACTGATGCTATTCAATAATTTTATTAACCACTAGTCTCTCACCCTCTTGGTGGGTTTAAATGAAACAAATGCATCATAGAGTGAAATTATTTGGACAGATGTCAGAGTAAACCTAAAGGAAAAACCCCAGCCCACTGTGAAGAACTCCTCAGTTACCAAAGGAGTGCACAGGAGGTGTGCAGACAAATCCTATTACTGGGTAATGAGATTTCTTCACGTGTCCAGACACCAGTTTGAAAATGCGATTCTGCTCAAGACATAAGCAGAAGAGTTCTTATATGGGACAAAATTCTGTCTTCAGGAAAGATAGAATATATTTCACTAAAATCAATCTGATTCTCTCTTTAATAAATTGCTTGAAGGAAAAGACAGTCTTTGCTGACACAGAAAATGCTGAAGCCTTCTGAGCTTTGTCCTTTGAAGTACAGTCTACAGCAGGGAGTAGGCAAAAGAATAATGGAATCTTGTGAGAGGTAGGCTGTGAAACACTAGGGATTTCTGGCTAAGTGACGTCCCTTATTCTTCCTAAGCAAGGCCTAGAATATGAATAGTAGAGTATTTTAAAGTATTACATATTTTGTACTACACAGTGAGTGCAATATTTATAAGATGCAAGGCCAGAATCTATTCACCCTAAGGAAAAAAAAGCTATGGGACTTAGCATTAACATATTTTTCTCATTACTCAACTGTTTACCAATAATTGTTTATCTAAAAATTTTATTAGCTAGAATTATGTTGTATTAGGTCAGGGATTGGGAAATTTTTTCTGAGAAGAAACAGATAGTAAATATTTTAGACTTCGTTGACCATATGATCTCTATTATTACTACCCTACTCTGCTGTTGTCACGTAAAAGTAGCCATAAACAATTGATGAATGAATGACCTTTGCTGGATTTGGCCAGAGGGATATAGTTTGCTGATCCCTAATACTAGCCAATCGGCATCTTTATCAAGATAGCCCTAGCATCTATTACAGTTCCTGGAATCTAATATAGATTAACAAATAAATATAATATTAAAAAAAACACTTATGTTCCTGGTAGTGCATCCTTTCTGTAGAGTAGTCTTTTCTATTCTGCTTCTATGATTCCAGCTGATTAATTCTGAGACCACCTAAACATTCCAAAAACCTTAACTCCAAAATACGTAATAGACACACAATTTTTCTGGCATCACTGATAAAACAAGTTATAACCTGAATATAATCATGAAGGAGTATTAGAATAACCCAAAATGTGGGATCTGCTACAAAAATGTGAAGATCAAGAAAGACAAAGGAGGGCTGAGATAATGTTCTAAAATAAAGGAAAGTAGAGAAACATGACAAATAAACACAATGAGTAGCTCTGGAGTAGATCTCAGATAAGGAGGGAAAATAGCTATAGATGGCATTTATTGTACAAGTGACATAAATGGAATATATGATGTGGATTAAATAATAGCATCGAATCATTAAATTTCCTTAGTGGAGTTATGAAAATGAATGACCTCGCTCTTATGTAATACACAGTGGAGTAATTTGTGATGGGGGTTGGGGAATGATGTCTCCATTTTACTTTCAAATGGTTCAGATGAAATAATATATATCCATGTAAATTGATGGAGACAATGATAAAGCAAATATGGCAAACC